TTTCATGCAGATATTTTTATGTATAGTTTCACAAAACTGAAGTCAAATCATTCTGTTTTTGCTTCAAATTTCGAAATTATACAATCTAATTTAGATTAAAAACTGCTCATGTTGCATGTATGCAGCATCTTTGTTTGGATCAAGATTAAAATGCAGTGGTTGCCTCTAATTTTAAATGGAAAGAGCACAGACAAAGCCTTATTTTGTTTATATGAAGATATTTATTTTATTTGTGTTACTTATTTATTTGATTTGGGGCTTGTTTTAAAATTTCAATGTAGTTTTGTTATTTACATTTACATTATATTTAAATTTTGTCATTTAGCAGACGCTTTTGTCCAAAGCGATTTTACAAATGAGGACAATAGAAGCAATCAAAACCAACAAAAGAGCAGTAATATGCAAGTGCTATATTAGTATATTATTATAGTGTTATATTTCAATTTCACAAAGAAATGTGCAACATTTTGTCCAAGCAATAATAAAAGGACACATTTAATTTATCTAATTTTATTAAAAAATAAAATAAAATAATCGTGAATCGAATCGAAATATCAGAATCGTGAATAGAATCGAATCGTGAGTTGAGTGAATCGTTACATCCCTAGTCTTCAGTGCCACATGATCTTTTAGAAATCATTCTGATTTAGTGCTCAATTTCTTATTATCATCAATGTCGAAAGCAGCTGTGCTTCTTAATATATATCTTTTTTTTTTTTTATGGAAACCATGATACATTTTTCAGAATTATTTCATTTAAATCTCAGAAAAAGTCTTTTACACTGTTAGAGAAAACAAGTCAAACAATTTCTAGACCTAATTTTTTACATTTTTTAATACTATGGGCTTTAAAAATGAGCTGGGCTTTAAAAAAAATAAAAATAGTAGCAAATGCAATATAAAAAAAGACTCCAAAGTTTAATAGTCATTAATAATAATACATTACAACAAACAACAAAGTACAACTATATACCATTGTTAACTTGCCGCATACAGGCATTTGTATATCATCAATTTAAAAAAATGGTGCTTGAAAAACCAACTGAAATAAACAGCTGACAGATCTATGTTGACATAATATCAGCCATAAATTAAACAACAAATGTTGCTGCTTTATATCAGCAAGGCAGAAACACACAGCGGCCAACAACAGAATAACATAACACTGCCTACTTCAAACTCACAATAAACAAAGGGTCCAGAGCATTCACATATTCACAACAGCTCATTGAGCCGCAGGGCCCACAATACACGGAGGAATGGGCTGTCATGTCCAAGCACGACTGCTTTACATTTCTGAAGACTGAACTTGGGTGAAAAGTGGAGAAAAAAAATTACAGGATGCCAAATTCCAGTCCAATGTTGATTTCTAAATCACATTCTACAAAATATACAAATTCTAAAGTCAGAAGAGGGTGGATGAACTAGAAAATGTCACTAATGACCTACAGTGCAATATATACAGAAAATTCTATCTATTTCAATCTGAACCTGAAAAGATATTTGCTTACAGTACTTGTAACTCTGCCAAGAGTTGGACCCTATGGAGTCACAATAAAAGTGTTATTCCTCAACTTCATAAGTGGCTGTGAGCTGTAGAGTGCACCGACCTCTAGAACAGAAACAAAAGCCCTAAAATATACTGTTGTTCAGCCTACGAAGCCATTCTAACAACCACTGGGAGCTTTCCAGCAACCGGCCCTGATCAGCAGGAGAAACAGCTAGAAAATATGCAGTGACCACCTGGATTCCTCCAGAAAGAGGCTTGAATGACAAACAGAAAATGCAACTGCTTCTAAAAAGGCCAGTATTCCGTATGTACACTTGGCACATGTCTGGTATTCTATTTACAATCTAGCACTTGACCTGATTTGTTTGAACAAAAACAGCCCACAATGACAGAATACCACAGATCCGGGGTGGATTCTGAAGGCATACAAGGAAACGAAAGATTTAACGACAGGTTAAACGCATTTAGCCACTCAACGCACATAGGGCTAAAACGGGATCAGCACGACAATGAGGAACCGGCCAACTTATTGGTTTAAAAATAGCTGTAATGCAATTGAGTAAAGGCTGTGTGAGCTTTTAAACACAATGCATAGTCAACGACTGCAGAGCAGAAAAAGCTCTGAGGGCACACTGAAAGTAATTTTTACTGCCATTTGTAGCGCAATATTAAACGAACTTTCTTTGCAAGAGGTACAAGCTTTTCCATGAATAATTCTAGGCAGGATGTACCAGTGAAATTGCATGTTTCTGAGGCAGAGACATAATAACGGTGATTAAAATAAAGGCAGGACATTGAGCCAGTACTCGCGACCGAGGCACTTAATCTGATTCCCGTGGTGAATAAAACGGCAGAGTGAGTCACACCCCATAAATCAAAAGCATTCGGGATGGCGCATGAAACGTTACATCTCTCATGAGCACATGGGACACCTTATTCAAGAGCAAATGTGTTTATTCCTGATCCTTACAGGTATGTGACTGTGCTACGTCCTCAGGTATGAGGGTGAGGACTCCAATATAAGTGGAGAGAGTAAGTGAAGTAGGGGTGGTTGGTTTTAATAGAGAGGCAGGATGTTTGAGTGATAGCTCACCGTTTGCATCCTTTGTTAGGCCAGAGATGGGAAAATGTTTTTCTACTGAATCCCTGAGCCGTATGTTAAATTAAGTGTATGTTACACGAGGTCTTGAGTCAAGTTGCTCTATTAGACTGTGTGATAAGTTCAACCGCGAAATGCGTGTGGGAGATGCCAATGGATTAAATGCCGACGGTCTGTGGATTATTCATTGACTGATTCATCGTGCCATCGCCGGTATTGGAACGCTTGGGACAAAATTGTTGGCAACGGCCAAACAACGCTGGAAATACAGGTTTTTGTAGAACGTATTGCCTGGACTGTTTTGAAGGAACTGATTGGTACATATTATGGGGAGGGGGTGAAATGGTTGTTTATGTGTGGAGGCTGCTTGTTTGTATACACTATGGCACTTTAATATATAAGTATCAAAAACTCAATGGATTGTATCCCATATTTTTATTGTGGCTTTCGTTAAACTGATGTTTGAGAGAGTTTGTTACAGTGCTATTATTAACCAAAAATATTACAAATCATTTTCAGCAACTGAAATAAAGCTGAAATAAAATAAAATATAATGTTAGAAAAAAACCTAACTTAAATGAGAAATGTTACCTTGGCAGCTAACTGAAATACATTTACATAAAAAAAATTGTTGAAACCAAAACTGATATAAAAAAAGTAATAGAATCACAAAGAAGGAGATGCTTGTCTACTCCAAGAGAATGTTTAAAAAAAACAAAAACTGGATTATCTGCCTCACCATTGCCAATATTCCTGGAAGCATTTAAAGAATGACTGTCTTGTTTGACAATTTGTTATACATATGCCAAAGCGCTTGCGTTTACCCACCCATCCTCAAGTGACACTAAGAGCAGAATAAACACTCATGTTTACCTGCAGACGAAGTGGAGATATCTTCACACTGTATCTCAGGGGGGTTTCTGAAGACATTGAGCTTGGTAAAGCACTGAGAGAAAACTGCAGCTTGTTTCCAACCACCTGACACAGGACATTCTGCAAAAAGAATACAATTATGACTAAGACTAGTTTGTCACTTTAAATATCCTCATGCTTCATCAGTCATAACATAGCTAATAATTTTTCTGAATCATCAAAACGAGAAGTCTTATAACCCTATTTTGATTCAAAACATCCAAACCTAAATACAGTTCTCGTAAGCAAGCAGGGTGAGATAATAAAGTAGTATGGCAACAAATTGTTTACTCATATAGGTTAGTGTGTATAAACGTTCAAAGCGTGACCTTACTTTTTGACCGGGTGTTTTAGTAAAGCTTGAAATCTGGTCCACGGCCAGTTCTGATGATTGAACACCATCTTCTTCAAATGTCAGCTGGATCCCACTCTAATAAAAGGAACAAAACATCAAAGGAAAACAATAAGCAAAAAAGACCACAACATTGACTTTTAGGAGCTCGTATATGTGCTATTTTAAAAATGAAGACTACACATAGATATAACTGAATTAAAACAACAACAACAAACCCACCTGTGATCTACAAGCTTCTTCATTGAGGCTCCTGAACCAGGCTCTTCTCCACTGACTCTTCCAGCTTTTCAGAGACAGCACCCAGCATAAAATCCCATCGGCTTCCTCAGAATCCACATTACTGAGAGGTGTTTTCCCAAAAGGAGCTTCGTTGGAAAAATACAGCACCAAGTATATAATCAAAGTGACAACAGAGGCCAGAAAGAGAGTGACCATGCAGAGCCACTGCCAGTCACCCACCCAGGAGAAAACAGCCTCCACAGACGACATGATCACCGAGCCATTCACTTTAAACCCTTAACATGTTTACCATCAGCCCTACTCCTCTCCCTTCCGCATCCCAGCACAATAACGACACTTTCCTTCCTAGTATTGACTAATAAAACTCCTTCTCAAACAGCAAAAATGAAAGTTCACGGTGGGTGGGTGGAAACACGCGAACGGTGGGTTGAGGCTCGTAAATCTCACTTCAACCAGCACGACAGCGACAGACAGATGTGTTTTAACACAAAATACAATTGTTAAAATCAGATGTTTAAAATTTTAGAGCATCTGCACAACTACTGACACTCTAAGTAGCATTTTTAACACGGCAGTTCACAGTAAACCGCCCGTGAATGAATCTGCGAGATTTTGACCGGATAAATCATCTCTTGTCGGACACAAACAGATGAAATGTTTTTAAAATATTGGCGATTTAAATATATATATATATACTTGATAACATAAATTAAAGATCCATTTTAGACAGTTATTGGCTATTTAAAGACAACTCTAAATAGTAAAAGCATTAGATCCGGAGCACCCGAGGTGAAAAAAGTTCCTGAAAATCCCCCGGCGTTGATGAGCCACGTTACCATCACATTAGCCGAGCACTATCCCACAGAAAACAAAACAAAAAAAGAGTTTAAAAAGTTACATTAAATGCAGTTCTCATATTCTCTAGCGGGTTTGTTCATCCTCCTGGGCGTGTATGGTGAAGAGAGGCAGAAACAGAGTGGCTGAGTGTGTCACACACACCGCCTATTTCTAGGATTATTAGCTTTGCACTGAGGTTCGGGAGTCCTAAAGCACCGTCACCAGACGAGACAAAATAAAAGTCCCTACTGCAGTTTCCAAAATAATACAAATGTACGTGTTTATATTAAATTAATTAATTATTAAAATTAAATAATAGTAAACTGAAATATGTAGACAAAATCAATCAATAAAAATTACATTTGTAGTATATTATTATTACGGGGAATGTATGCTTGCAGAAAAAAGACAAAGGTCTTGTGATATCTCTTCATTTGAACAATGGGCGTTTCTTTGTTTATATGAAAATGTGCGAATTGTGTGTGGATCACTAGCTAAAACAATGGGATTGTTTGCAAACGTTTTTCTCAAAGTAGTATATTTAACGTTACACCACCCTCATACACTTTTTTTTTTTTATTCAAATAAAAAAACAAGTTCGTTATTTACTCATTGCTAACATTATTCACATTATTTACTCATTGCTTGGTTTATTCATTGCTAACATTAAACAAACTGTAAATGTTCTGTTTTGTCGATCAATACTTAATAACAGAGCACTCGTTAGATAATTTACACAAACCGATTATAACAACAAACCGATTATCTCACACGAACTACTCCGTCATTAATGTAGTTTCGAGGCAGAACGTTTGAGCCTTGAAGTAGACCTGCGCGGAGGCAGAAAACAGAAGGAAAAATAGTGCGCAATCCTACAATGTTTTTTTTTGTTGCTAAAATTACTTTCTCACTTTAAAATGTATAATATACGTAATTTCCACGTTAAAATAGTAAAATCAGTAGTTAAAACACTGTAGTATCGATTCTAGAAAACATTTGAAATGTCGATATTTCAAGAGCCACCCAATAGTATTCATCCGCCAATTCACAGTGTCCATCGGAATCATGACAGAGTGAAGCTAAAAAAAAAAGCACGATATCGAAGAACTTATTTGAATTCCAATCTTTGTTTATTTTAAAAACTGATTTCTATTTCAATCACAATTTTAATTAGAGAAGGTCAACTGAACTCTACCTGAACGGGTAAATTATAATTCGATAAATAGAAATAGGCCTATTCATATGAAATGATCTTGGGCTAATGGTGCCCGCTTCCTAGCATAGATGCATGTTGTTTACATTTAAATTTATGTATGAGTGTGACAGAAGTCAGTATGGTTATGTTTTCGCTGGTTAGTTTTCTTGTTAAACCTTTTTCTTCTTTTTTACTTTCTGACTGAAGCCAACTGTAATTGTTACTGTAACTGCACATGTAATTAGTAAGTAAACATTTATGGCTCGGCTTGCTATGCTAAAATGATTCAACCAAGCATAATTCAGTTTTCAGGTGAGGAAGAAATCTCTGGTTACTTCTCTAATTTGATCCATGGGACATCTGCATCATGACAGGGGTTCAGCCAATGCCCTGTCCGGTGCTCCTCGGCACTGTGAAAGGTGGAGGTTTATTAGCTCTTCTGCACAGATACACAATTGAGAAAAAAGTAGCAAAAGTGGAGAATGTGCTGAAAAAAGGTTAGCATACATTGTTTTTTTTTTTGTTTGTGTTTTTGTTTTTTTTACAATGATTGTACATGTTTTATTAATACTTTTTATATTACATCTTCCATAGGTGTGGGAGTTGACAGCATGAACCACCTTGGACAGACACCACTCTTTTGTGCGTCTCTCCTTGGCTTTGCCAGTGTAGCAGAGAAGCTTCTACAGTATGGGGCAAATCCAAATCAGTAAGGTCAAACCTTCCCATAATAAACCCACCAAGCTTGTTTGAATATGAAAATAGCATATTATCTCATGTGTGATGTTTATGTTCACCAGCCGCTGTAATGATGGAAGTACCCCCATTCATGCTGCAGTTTTCTCTTGTAATCCCTGGCTGCTGAGTTCACTGCTGGATTCTGGCGGGGACCTGCGTCTCCATGATGATCAGGGCCGGATGCCGAAGGACTGGGCCAAGGCAGGTGCTCAGGAGAACAGTCCGAAGGTGTGTGCTGATTGTTTTGATGCTGCTTTGGTTCTATGTCTATAAAATGCAGCACCAGTGCAGCCTTAAACTTGGTCTTTGTCATGACAGAGTATTTCATAATGCAATTATCCCATTTTAATTACAATTTCATAGTTTCAAACACATTTCAGGATGTTTTTATTTACATTTATATCATTTTTTTTAGTATAGTAGTAATTTCTTTGTATATGCACCGCAGTGTAAAGGCACCATTAGACCATTTATTATTTTTTATCTACAGATGCTTGCTTTTCTGATGAGATGTGAGTCTCAAATGCAGAGGTTGCTGCAAACCCATCCGTCCAGGGATGCGCGTATCACCCCAACCTCCTCAAAGACACTGCTCAGCTCTCCATCCCTGCTTAAGCTTTTGCGACCTCGGTAAGATCTGCAGCTCTTCTCTGGCCATTCATCTTTATCAGTGAACACTTTCTGTGTTTTAAGGCTTGAATACACGACTTTCAAAACCTTAACAGATTTTGACGACTTTATAAATAGTTGCAGAGAACCAGAATGCAAATCAATGGAAAATATGTGCAAACATTGTGTAGTGTTTTCCAGCCTTTAGTTATAGTGTAATTTAGAGAAAGAGAAAGCAACAATACCTAGAACAGTGATTCAAGACTCTGATTGTACAAAAGTAAAAGTAAAGTTTTATTTGTCCTTCTCTTTAGGGCATCTGGGCTCACTCATGAAAATAAAATAAATTATAAGATGTCTGCCTGTGATATGATGATGCAGTGTTTTGGCTATGGAAAGGTATGCATAAACATTTTTCTCTCTCTTGCAAATATTTTGAGAAGGTTAAACCTGAACACACATCACATTTTTAGTAATATACATAAATGTTTTCATATTAACAAACATGTTCTAAATCCTAGACTACGATTATAAGGATTATAAAATGAACATTCCCCTTTCCATTAGCATACCAAATCTACTAAACACAATGTACTTTCATGTTGACAGCTATTAATCACATTGAGCTGTTAAGATGTTGTTCTGTAATCATGACAGTTATACTCTGAGAAGCCAGAGTTGGGTCTGGGACTGGCTGCTTCTGTGCCCTTGATAAGTGACAGTGATTTAGCTCAAGCTAACGATGAGCCTCTCAATTCCTTTATGTGTGGATCTTTCATACGTATGACCAAGTAAGACATTGTAATCAAGCATGACCTTTTATTGAATATTCATGAAGTAAGAGGACAGATTTAAATGGATATACAGCATTTCCTTACAGCAAACGTAATCATTTTTTTAACTCTGCCTTAGTTACAGTTGGAAAGGATGTCGTGTCACTGTTAAAGAGCTGCATGATCAGATTTTGCAACAATATGAAGAACGTGATGGTCTCCTGGATCTACTAATTTCTGAGCAGGAGTATTGCTGGTAGGACAATGAACACTCTTTAAAAGCTGCAAAAGAGTTTGACTGTAAACATGTAAAGGACTGTTATTAATAAAACTTGATTTAGGTGATAAGTCTTTTTGTATAATTTTGTAGACAATATGAAACATTATTTGCAGTGCATTCACTTCCGTAATGTTATGTATTTCTGAGTGAAACTGAATGAAATTTGTGAATTTTATCCAATTGGATTGGATGAAACATGTTGGGATGTGATGTTACTGGTTAATATTATATTGGCTATTATTATTTTTCCTGGGCCGCATAGCTGTTCATCAAAAAACTAATTTTAAAGCAGATAAAGATATCACTTTGATGAAGGATTATTAAACCTATATTATTATTTTTAGAGTTATATATTATAGAGATAATGGAATCTATATTATTTTAGGGTTATTGAGATCCTATTGTAGTTTTTTTTCTCTTTTCGGTTTGCATTTTAAATTTAATATTTATGTTGTAGTAATTTTGTTGTTTTTAGTTTTTTTTTTTTTAATATGTCTATAAATTTTTTATTCATTTGTATTTCAGTTTTAGTTTTTCAGTACATCAACTAAATAAAAATGAGACATTTTATAACATTTATTTAAATACAATTTTTTTTTTTGTTATGGTTTTAGTTTTAGCTATAGTTTTAGTTACCTATAACAATAACCCTGGTTAGAAACATGCACAGTTAAACCAGTGACATTTTTCGACAGATTTATTACGGTCCATTTTAATTTAATGTTGACAGAAATGGAATACTTGAATTATGGAATACGTCACCTCAAAATGAAAATGTTATCATCATTTACTGAAGTAATTCAAAACCTTTATTATTTTTTCCTTCATTGTTATTTGTTATCTAAATACACTGTGCAATAGCAATGGTTACTATTATATCCTGTGCAGTCAGCTGTCTCACCCGCACCTGCTGCTGCTGATGGCTGTGAGTATGTCCGTTGACCTGGACAGCACAAAGCTGGTCTATGAGAGAGTAAATGTGGGGTCCCTGTACAGTCTGCTGCACCAAAGGGTAATATTTTAAATTTCGAAAAGATTTATAAATGACTGAGAAGTGGTTTTATTTTAAAATGTGTTCATTGTTTATTTGTTCGTTGTTTATTTCCACACTCTGCAGCGGGATGAGTTTCCTCTCCTACAGCTGGTTGACCTGTTATCAGTGGTGCTACAGGTGTGTGAAGTGTTAATGTACCTGCATGGCCGATCTCTGGTGATCCGGGCCCTTTCCTCACACACTGTACTCATTGTGCACCCTGGAATTGCCAAGGTTACGGGCCTCGGGTTCATTGTGCCCAGGTACGCCGTCCTCACTAAAGGCATATATTAAAGGGGTCATGACATGAGAAATCATATTTGCCTTGATCTTTTGGCATATAAGAGCTGCATCACAAACCAAAAGTAAATGATTTCATAATGCTTTGTCTGGAAATGAGCGTTTTTTTTTATCATGTTGTCAAAACACTCACATGCAATAGCGAGGGGGCGTTGATACGGTTTCCTATGCAGTGACTTTAGCCTATCACAACAGTGGCTGATTCCTGACAAGCCTTAAAGGACCCACCCCTTAAAGGTGCTGTCTTATATTCGGGTCAATAAGGTATTTTGAATTTGGACTGCAATACCTAGTTCAACCACTCTGTGTCAATCCTACATATAGCACCTTTAAAAACAGATTGTTTCAGACAGAGAGTCAGAATAGGGTTGAAAATAATCATTTTTCCACATATTTGCTTTTTTTTGTGCAAAAAAACTTTATTAACAAGTAAACCTCAAGGAACATATTAAAATAATAAAAAAATCCTCTATATATTTAAAATAACCTGAATTTAGGAAATGTGTAAATTAAATGGCTTCCATTCATAACGGACACGGTTTTTAGTTGTTTGACGTGCCTTTACCCTCTTTTCCAATTGCAGTGAGGGAACGGCCCCCTACACCCCACCTCCTGTTCCTTTACCTCTCAGCCTTATCAACTGGGCAGCTCCAGAAGTGATAAGATGTAGAGCATGTACAGGAAAAGCTGATCTCTATAGTGTGTGCACCCTTATACAGGAGATCTATACAGGTACCTTCATGCATGCGATGCAAACAGTAGAGCTTGTGTAATAGATCTTGTTTTGTGTTGCTAGCTTGCAACTTGTAAAGCAGTTATATTGCCTTGTACAGATGCTTTGCCATGGGGCTCCACAGACCCACGCTGGATAAAACGGTTGGTAGAAGCCGGCCAGGCTCTGATAGCAAACCCTGCCGTGCCTGAGCCTTATTACCAGTTCCTGCAGGCGGGCCTCCAGCACAGAGCCCAGCACAGGACCAGCAACCTGCACGATTTGTGCTACAATCTACGCTGTTATATAAGGGTTTGTACAATGGTCTAGTTCTGATACTCTATCTCATAAGTATGTATCAGTGCACATGTAACATGCTTTATTTTCTGGATGTGTACTACTGTTCAAAAGTTGGTGGGTGACATGATAGAAAAATTTAAAATCAGTAAGTAAAATGATTTAGGATATGTTATACAAGGTTTTTCCAGATATAGAGAGTAATATTCAGTATATCAGCATGAGAGTAAATGGTGCAATCTAATCTACAACAGGAGATAAGAAGCGAGAATACAAGAAGTGGATGGAACTCATGGTCAGCTCGTCAGAGCATCCCTGGATGGAACACTGACATTAATCAGGCGAGAGAGCAGGTCAAATCTGGTGAGATTTCCATTCAGTCATGATTAGGGAACGTTTTAGAGCATAGAAAATTATCGCTTTTGTGAGAAAGTGTTAAGTACATTAATTTGATGTAATACATTCATATAGTTTGTCCTATTCTTTCCTCATAGTATATCAGCACTGCAGGACTGCAGTACACAATGTGATCCAGGAAAATCTCCTGGAAGGAATCTACAAAGAAGAAGAGGAGTCCACCACAGACACTGATGACCTCCACTGGGATATTTCGCATAGTGATGTCACTGCTTTGCAGGAATGGCCAACTACCCATCATACTCCACTTTCTGAGCCACCTTGTTCTAACTATAGTGATACAGACAAGGATCTGGCAATTAACCGCTCTATCTCAAAGCATACTGGCTCCATTGTTCTCAAACTTAAAGTGTCTCAGGTTCTTCTACAGCAGGCTGAGCAGAGTCTGGATAATGTAGAGGCGGCCCAATTGGACGCCCCTTGCTTTGATGAGGTGGATGCTGTGATGAAGAGGGCGCACATGGAAAAAGAGTGCAGGGATGGTGTTGGGAAGGCTGTGGGACCACCGTTTAAAAATTATATTCCCAACTGGACCATTAATGGAGATGAGGAGGTCAGTCAGTACAGCTCAGCTCAAGATGAGAGCTTCGACAGCACATCCCTTCCTAGTAGTGTAAAGGTATGTGTCACGTTTGATCAGTTTAATGTGCCCGTGCTGAATAAAAGTATTAATTTCTTGAGGAAAGAAAGAAAAAAACTAAACTAAATGAGTGAAACATACCACCAACAGATCACCTACAAACAAAAAATGAATATCAATCAGTAAAGCTTAATGATTTAAATAATTTATCGAATAAATGTGAGGAAAAAGCTTCACTTACAGGAGGAGAACAGGGACTTGAAGAGAGTTCAAACAACAAAAAGAGGACAGCAACAGACAGGACATCAAAAATCTGAGAGGTACAACAGTATAAGAGCATTAGCAGAAAAAGACTGATATAAGTCAAAAGGAGAATGATAGATGGATGGCAACAACAGGAAGGATATATATGAACAAATAGGCAAGAAGATGACAAAAAATAAGCAAATACATCTCTTTGTTTCAGGTTACATGTGCAACTTGGGTTGTTGGAGACTCAGAAAGATGACACACACCAATCTCTTAAAAAACACGTCCAAACAAAACCCTCATGGACCAGTGAGGAACAACAGCCACACCATTCATTATCTTCATGTCTTAGAGGTGTCATGTGACTTGTTGTGTGTGTCGGTGCAGGTGAGGTTAGTGAAATGGTGGCCCTAATGACACGTGGGCGATTGGGGTCACCCTTGAGTGCTTTTGGCAGCAGTGACAGTGAGGATGTAGCAGAGCAACAGTTCCACCTACAGGACAGAAATAGTGTGAATGGCTACCAGGAATATGAGACCCAGGAAAGCACTGATCTGGAGCAACTATTCAAGAGTTTTGCCGGTAATAGAGCTGTGCCTGAAATTACTGTTAAAGGGATAGTTCACCTAAAAATGAAAATTTTGTCATCATTTACTGACCCTCATGCTGTTCACCCTCTTGCAACTGGTTGGTTACCCACATTCTTCAAAATATCTTCTTTTGTGTTCATCAATAGAAAGAAACTCGTACAGGTTGGGACCTTGGAACTTGATGACAATTTTCATTTTTTGGGTGAACTGTCCCTTTAAGATATTTCATTTAGTGTTTTATTTAGGCTCAATTCAATATTAAATTCCTTTTTTTTTTTAAATAATAATTTTAAATATTTAAAAATGTGTTTAAATGCTATTTAATGGCAGGTATTCAGAGTGATAGTGAGGAGAGCACAAATTACCACACTATCGATCACACTTTTGATGTGACCAATGGAGTGCTGGAGGTGACAAGCCAAACTGAGGTGATAAACTATGACCTTTATTTATATATGTTTTGTACCATTTCATTAATGTTTCTTTCTTTTTTTAATGAAACACAGCCACCCACATTTGCATATGAACATTCAGCATGCTTTTTTACATGTAGAATTTTTAAAGGTATAGTAACAAAAACAGTTTTTTTTTATAATAGTCTGTTTAATAAGTCCAGTGTGAGTTTAATAAATCGTCATTTAAAACTAAATCAAGATTGTTGTATGACTTAAACCTTAACATTATAGGTGGACTTCTACAACAAAATGCTACAAAAATTCTAAATATGTACCCTTTAATGTATGTTATGTCACAAGGATGAGGGAAGTTCAGATGGTTTGGACTATACACAGACACAGCAATCTAGCATGTTCTACACACCCAAACATCACCTGTCCAACCACACATCATCTGATGAAGAGCGTTCTCAGGTAAAATTAGGCAATTTTAGATATTTTTTGGACACTCTTTATATAATGCAAAAAAAATCTGAAGATTAGGCATATGCCTTGAAGAATAAAAGAGGTAGATTTCCTCTACCCTTGTTATGTTTTTCAGTCATTGAGCTCAGAGGACGAGTTGGACGTCACAGTGGAGGTGTGTCGACGCAGCACAACTCCAGCAGAGGGAAAACAGGCTGGTGAAAACAGTCTGAGTGGTATGTAGATCAAAACAGCCTGCAGTCATTGCATTGCCAGCTTTGTGGGTGACATTTGTCTTTTTTATAACCTTTATGTCACCCTTTTTTATCTAGAATACCAGCTTGCTCAAGAGGACTCAAAGGAGTCTGAATCCATGCACAGGTGTATTCCTACCATCAGGTACAAGAAATAAAGCATCTCACACAAAGCTCAATAACAGATGATAAAATTCAGTTTATTGTAATATACAGGTGCATCTCAATAAAATAGAATGTTGTGGAAAAGTTAATTTATTTCAGTAATTCAACTCAAATTGTGAAAC